CTCCAAACTTTAAGAAAAGGGGGATTTGGAAAAACATAAATTTCCTGAGAAGTCCAGTGGAAACATTACCAGTGAAGACTAGGGCAACAGAGGCTGGGGCAACATTTATGGGGAAGAGACGGCAAGACTAGAGGGCAGCGAGGAAACAGTTTGATCATTAGGACCTGCGGTCAGTGTAAGGATTCTGAGAAAAGGAGTGTCATGGGGAACACAGAGCCAAGGACGGAGGTTCTGAACATACTGGAGGATGCTGTGCTTCCAGTATATAGAAGATGCGGGTTGGGGGGTGGGGGAGGTTGAACCAAAGAGACTACAGGCAGATTATTGCAAACAACTAGGCGAAAGTGGGAACCCTGCAGGTGTGAGAAGCCTTTGGATTCTGATACATTTGAATGCAGACCAGTAGCATTTATAACACACGTGCGAGGAAGAAGAATCGGAGACTCGGGGCCAAAGTTGTTGAGTTGAGCCTGGGAGGAGGGGCTGGAGCGGAGAGAGGAGACTATGGAAAAGTGGCTTCTGCTAAGTTTGAGAAGGTTCTCACACAGCTGAGGGGTCATGCGTTACTGAGGTCCGATAAAAGAATGGGGTTCAGGAGAGACGTCTGACCTGCAGATAGAAAGAGGACCAGTAGCACACAGATGGCATTTATGGCCAGATTTTTACACCCTGTTCTATTTTAGATTACAGCTGTGCTCTTTGGGCAACTCAATTTATACTCATTTGTTCTCACGAAAAAGGTTGAAGAAATACTGTACTTATCCAAAGGCTGGAGCATTAAGGGGCGCTGGGCGTAAAAACACCTTGTAAACAATCAAGGGCTATTCAGACCGGAACACAATAGGTGTTGCAAAGTCCCGGGGATGAAGAAAGAACACCAGTTTGGTGATCCAGGCAGCGAGTCCTTATGCACTGCGCACAGAGAAATTTTGAGTAATTATGGAGGCGTATAAAGCCATGATAATCCTCTATATTTTACTGCAGCCCAGTCCTTACAAAACATACATACGCACGCACGCACACACACACACACCACACAGGTGTCCGAATTTGACAAGACTTTCACGTACGACATCTCTGAGCTGCACATCAGTTTTGCAAGGAGGAGATGACAGCGATACGGGAGGTAACTGAGATCTAAGAGGACAACTGACTTGTAGGACATCCGAGGAGCCGGTCAGAGCCACGTGAACAGCGGGATCCTCGTTCCGGAGACCAGCCTAAATAGGAACAAACCATTCCTCACTGAGAACATTCAGTAAAGGTTATAGGCGGCCTTAGTCTCACAACCTCCACCCCCACCGCTTCAGCAATCTTCCTTTCGCTTTCCGGTCCCCAGTGCCCCTCTCCGACGGGACAGCCCTTTACACCTCTCGCGAGACCGAGAGCGCGCGCTTCTAGTTGCCAGGGTAACAGCGTTCTTGGAGGCAGCGGGCTTGGGACCGCGGCTCCTTTCATCTGCACAGAGGTGGTGGTGGCGGGAAAGACCCGTCCCCTTCGAGGGAAAGTGGATGACGCTTGGATGTCAGCGGCGCCAATTAGTGCCTAGGCGTCTAGCCTTCGTCCCCACCGGGAAGGTGAGGGACCGCACGGACCACGGGCAGAGGTCGGTAGCTGTGCGGACGGGCGGAGTCCTGTCGGGCCTCCACTAGGGGCAGAGGGCGGACTTGGTGCCCAGGGACGCGGCCATCGCGGTGGGTGTGGCCTGTCCGCCCAGGCCATAGCAGGGCGTGGCTAACAGGGGCGTGGCTATGTCTGGGAGGGCCTGTGGAGTCTCAGGGAAATCACAGTCCCAGCTGGAAACCCTCTGCATTAGTCCATCTTTCTGAACCTTCTTGCCACCGAGGTCTAGAGAACTAGTCAGTAGCTTAGACTGTAAACGGCACATAGTCATGACGCAGAAAAAAGTGAAAATAGGAAGAGGGCTGGTAGACACTGGCCTGGAACTCCGCTTTTCCTATGATGGAAGAAACGTAAACCAAACCTCTGAACATCTGTCAGGCTGGAGAATATGAACAGGCTTTTCAGACAACCAGATTGGCAACAAATCAATCTAGGGAAACGGGTGGTTTTACCTCATCAGAGAAGATCATGTGCTAACTACATGAGCTGATCAAAAAAATGGTACAAAACATTGGCATGTATGAGCAGCTATTTGCCACCATTAGAACCTGGTCACACATCTACTTCACTGACTATTATAAGGTGTCTGATATTTTAATTTGATTCCTTTAATACCCTAAGAAAATGTGCATTGTGTATCTTTAAACGAGGAAATGTCTGGAACAAAAACTCTGTTCGTACCAGTTGCTCTTTTCACAGTAGACCCGCCTAAGAGTGATTACTAATAACCACACGACAGCAATATTAGGCTGACCTGAAATCTCCTCTGCCAAGGAAACGAATCCATTCCTTTTCAATGTTGCCATAAGCAAATGTTTAGGGCAAGGGCAGAAAGCGTCCGCATCCTTTGCATATCCTAAGAATGTGCTGTGGCCCAGTTGGCTAGTACTGTTTGTTCCCCCTGGAAGCTCTGGAGGTTTGTGGGCCTCCACAGACCACATGCTCTCAGCCCTTTGTCTTCCTCCCTCCTGCTAGGATGGTCAGATAAGCTCCGCTTACAAAGTTCAATGATTTTCCTAGTCTAGAGTCCCGGAATCTTCCAGTTCCTCCAAAACACAGTATAGTCAGATCTGTCCCAGAAATTATCCATTCCTTGGTACCAGCTTCTGTCTTAGTTACTTTCCTGTTACTCTGACAAAGAACCATGGCCAAGGCAACTTGTAAAAGAAAGCCTTCAATGGACTTACAGGCTCAGAAGGGGCGAGTCCATGACGGCAGAGCAAAGGGCATGGCAGCAGGAACAGCTGCGAGCCACGTCTTGGTCTGAAAGTAGAAGGCAGAGAGAGCTAAGAGGGAATGAAGAGAGTTTATTGAAACTTCAGAGGGTGCCCCCTCTCTCGCAAAACACCTCCTCCAATAAGGCTACGCCTCCTAATCTTTCCCAAACGTTTTTACTTTACTTTACTTGTGGACCAAGTAGTTCAACGGAAGAGCTTCTGGGGGTGTTCGCATTCAAATCACCATGATGCTTAGCACATCAGTGATTTCTTTGCCAACTATATATTACTTTTAGCAATAGCTTTTGCTTTTACCAAAATAATATGGCCCAAGTGTTAAACTGTGAAGTGGAATAGAGAAGTTCCCGGTCACAGCCTCTGGAGGCAGCCATCTTGAACTCTTAATTAGCTCTTGTTTTGGCTTTTATCAATTTTTGGATATCCTCTCCAATTTCCTATTATAATAGATTCTTCTACACCCGTCCTTTTGGATACTGTTCCCCACCCCCATACACTCAGTGAAGGCATGATATTGGTTAAATCCATACTCAGTACTCATATAACTAAGCACACACTGTTTGGTTGCTTTCTTGTACAGCTCTTCATTTTTCATGTGGGATTTCTGTGTGACAAGTGGTTCCTTAAACACACAATACATCTATAAGCTTCCAGAACAAAGGTCTTTATTCTGACTTCTTTTCCAGATGGTGAAATACACAGACAGTCTGTGTCAATTACATTTTCTGTGAACCATGATTTATTTAATTTGATATGCTTGGGAGGGAACATAATAGTAACAGAGCAGATTTTGAAGCAAATGGAAAGATTTCTGGGGTCTTTTAACTGATCCATGACACGGCTGGGTCCCTGTGCCCTGGCCTTTTTTGGATGTGTATCGTATTGGCTCTGCCACATGCTTCACTCCCCACTCCTCTCAGGCTGCAGTAAGTCCCCCTTGACAGGATGCTAAGGGCATGGAGAAGACATTTGGCCTTTTAGTGACTTATGCTTTTCGGTGGTGACGTGACGGGGCCAGGGTGATCCATCATCCCACAGTAACCATGTCAGGCCCTTCCTGAGCGAGCCCCGGCCCTTTTACACCGTGTGAATAATGTTGACATCAATGCCTTTCAGTTGCTGAGTGGGAAGGGTTGGCCAACTGTTCTCTGCAGTCAGCAGCAGTGGCACACGGGGCAGCTGGAGGCCAGGCCATGTCATTCCTCAGTGAGTCCAAGAGCAGCTTCAGCTCGTCAATGTCGGAGCTTCCTTCGGGGTGCCGAGCCTCTTTGGACTCTGAGTCTGAGGCTCACAAACTGAATGAAAGGCAGTTTTGTAGGATGAGGAGGGACACTGCAGTCTTTGTGCCTACATATTCATTCATATTTGAGTGGGATTTTCAGTTTCTTCTGATTTCCAGCATGATATTGTTCCCCTATCCCCAGCGGATCTGTAAGGGTCGTTATCAAGGGCATGGTTTGGAAGGGTCTATCCACAGTGTTTGTCTTCTCCCACTAGTTCAAGCCGTTCTGCCCAGTGTGAGCTAGTCTCACTTCCAGACTTCGCACTAGACACACAGTGGCGATGATGAAGACAGCCTGTGGAGAGTCTCATGCAAAGTGGTTAAGGAGGCAGTTGACAAAGCACAACCAGATAAAGCAAGTCTGTCCTGTAATAAAGGCTGCAGGTTCTGTTCCCTTGTGTCGGTCAGAAGCAAAACTGTGGACTTCAGGAGGGGAGGGCTGATTAAATGAGGGCTGTGCTGTGGAGGAAAGCGCTCCAAAAAATGTGACCTATCTGGAGCAGGAAGGCTGGAAGGAGGCAGGCTGGAGGCCTTAGCAAGTCCTTATGATGCGGGGGGTTAGGGTTAGAGAGGTGTCCTTGGAGTGTTCTCCTGCGGAAGAGCAAGGTAGCACATTTTTGTTTTTGTTTTCCTGCATCAAGACAGTGAGACAGCATTCACATCTGCATCCTGCTTTAACTGCTGTTGGTACCTGATGCATAATCCATGTACTAAGATTCTCTTGATGACACTGAGGAGCGCTTGCTTAAGTATGTGACTGTGGTAGTGAATATGTTCTGAGTCATTGTCTGGAAGCCTAGACTGATCAAGGAGACATTTAGACCTCTAAATCACTCTTAATTCTTTTGGCTTGGTTTAGGATGTCAATGGATATTATAAAGGGAAACCTAGATGGAATTTCAAAACCAGCCTCAAGTTCACGATCACGTCCTGGCAGCAGAAGTTCCAATGCTTCTCTGGAGGTGCTCTCGCCAGAACCAGGGGCCTTCAAGGTAATCTTTCATTTGGAAAGGAATCGAGCTCTCTGCCACAACAATTGAGGAGACCAAGGTTGACTCCCATTTTGTCTTCAGACGGTATTCACAGGTTCCTGACTTTTCCGTAGATTGTTCAGGATGTGCATGCTACGTTCTTTTCTCCTCCTCCCCACTACCTTCTTTATTTTGGGGTATGCTTTCTTAAAATCTGTGTTAAACTTTGTTGTGTGTTGTTTGGCTTCATAAGGAAACTTTGTATTCCAGTATCTAATATACACCCACTGATATTTACTATGAAAATGGCTCAGTATTTAAAAATAGATGGTTCAGGTAAACTGCTTGCCACGTACTGTGAGAACCTTAGCTTGAGCCCCCAGAACCACATAAATCTGGGTGTGCCAGTGTACATCGGTATGTCCAGTGTGTCTGTGGTGAGGTGGGGGCGTGTTGGAGACAGGAGAACTCCCCAAAGCTTTTGGCTTGCTAACTTGCTGGCCACAGTGCCTAACAACAGAGACCCTGTGTTATGAAGAGACCCTGTGTTATGAAGAGACCCTGTGTTATGAAGAGACCCTGTGTTGCGCACTTGTCCATTTATTCTTAGAGTCCCTTTTACCTTGAGAGTGGTCCTAGGGCTGCCCATCGCTGTGGTGGCGTATCCCACATGTGGGTCCCTCCCAGCGGCTGAGGCTGGGGGGCTGGAGTAGACGGCTCCCCTCTGTGGAGAGAGTTTCTTTGAGAACTCAGCTCTTTCTGGGTGTGTTCACCTCACTGTGCCTCCCTTTGTCTTCGGTGGATTTTGGAGGTTTGCAACTGATTTCTCTTGACCCATCTGAGAATGTCCCTTTTTGCCCTCTCTCAGGAAAGCATGGCGGGGCCAAACTGCTATTTTCACAGTGAAGTTTGCTGAAGCGCAAAGGGGAGTGGAAATAAAATAGGAGAGTGAGATTCACCCAGCATGTGCGTCTCATTAGAAGACTCTCATTAGAAACAGATCTCATTCACAATTTAGAACCACTTCTGAGTCCTTCGGCTTGCTCAGCAGCAGGCCAGGGGACGGGGCTGCTGCTGTGGACAGCGGGGAGCAGTGCTCCTGGCTCCCGAACAAGGCTCTTTGGGGCCAGTCTCAACTCTTCCCCAATATTACTTAAGATGGGGGGGCAATGGTATCAATTTAATTTTCAGTGAAGTTGCACTTCATTAACGTTTCTAGAACTCCAGTGCTGGTGTGGGTATTTACACATCTCCATAGGGCTTTCATTAATGTTAAAGGCTACGATATGTGAAGTTTTAAGAAAACATATTATCCTTTTAAGTGTCTTTGAGTGTGAGCATTGTAATTTGGAAATTCTTTTGTTGAAATTATTTTCAGATTGACATGGTCAACAAGTTGAATTCTAATAAGGAGGGCCATTCATCCAGCAGTAGTGTGGAAGGAAGAAGAAATAGTCATGACTGTAAGTGGGCAGATGACTCTGAGCGCACAGACCCAGCCAGAGAGGGCTCAGATGAAGACCTGGACTTGGCTCAACCGATGGTCCCCGAGCCTTCAGGTGTGGTGATCCCTGGTTGATTGGCTGATGATAATTGCAGATACTGTATTTAAAATATTAGAACTATACTTTTTCAGCTAAGTATAAGCAATAAGCCAAAAAGGAAACATACTTTTGGTAAGAAATTAATCATGTTTTTAGTCTTTGAATACATTTAGAAATATAGCAAAACATGTTACTTGATAAGATTATTATTTTGCTCATATTACATTCATTAAGGGGGAGTATTTCTGTATTGCATGGCGTGGTTCACGGGTTGGTTTTGATGGCTAATGTTGCAGAATGAGATGTGTTAGGCCATTTCTAAGTACCCGTTAAGGGTACTCCCAGTGATGGTGACTGATCCTGATGTCTTAGGAGCTCTTTTTCTCATGATATTGAACTAATTCTGGTCGGACTGAGTTAGAACAGCAGTTCTCAGTTGTGAGCTGCAGACCTCTGGGGATGTGGGTGTCTCCGAGACTCTCGCAGAGACCCTGGGAGGTGAACACTATTTTAATCCCACACTGAGGTGCCACCTGCATTTTGGCCTCCTGCCCTGGTAAAACGCTCTGGGAGTGATGATCCAGAAGTAATGGTGAGTTGGCTGCTTGGGCTGAACTGCCACTCCAGAACCTGGCACCAAACTGTACGGGGCTGCAGTTGTTACACAGCTAACGGGGTTGTGCCCAGCATCTCTTTATATATTTTTTCATATTGTGTGAGTTTGTTCAAAATATGACCTGGCATATGAACTAACTATGGACCGTGAGCCTGAGAATGCCAGGACTGGTAGCTGGGAATTAAACTAGAAGCTATTGTATTTGAAGTTTGCAAACAGCATCATCTTAGTAACCTCTTTATTAGGTTGATGTTCTCTTTTTCTCTTAAAAAGGTAGAGATGTACGTTATAGGCAAACATCACTGACTCTGGGCTCTCACTTAGCATGACGCTCCTTTTCAAATGATCTGACCTGGAAGTCCTAAGACTTAGTACTGGAGTTTGTCAGTTTTCACAGGGGGTAACTGAGGGGGTAGCTGGTAGCTAAGTGCTCACACTATGGAGTCAGACACATGTGGGTGGAGCTTACTGTTTGTTTACTAGTTAGAACACTTTGAATATGCATGTAATTCAGATACAAATTTGCCTCAGTTTACTAATCAAAAGGAAGAGAGAATGCATTGGGCTGCATGAGCCTGGCCAGGGCATATGAGTAAATCACTTTGCATTGTGCCCATTGGGCAAGTCTACCCATGACAGGTGCTGTGATTATCATTAGTTGTTATGTTGTCAGTTAAGCCCTGAATGAGAAAACCTCTAAAGTCCTTCATTTCAAATAAGATATCACCTGTTATCGTCTTGTCACAAACATCTTTTTATTTTATTTATTTATTTTTTTGGTTTTTTGAGACAGGGTTTCTCTGTGACTTTGGAGCCTGTCCTGGAACTAGCTCTGTAGACCAGGTTGGTCTCGAACTCACAGAGATCCGCCTGCCTCTGCCTCCCGAGTGCTGGGATTAAAGGTGTGCGCCACCACCACCCGGCTGTCACAAACATCTTTATGTGATTCAGAAAACCAAAGAGAGAGAGAGAGAGAGAGCGAGAGAGAGCAGAAAAAGGCATGTGTGTGGATGTGGAATCAGTGTGTTTACCCACTCTGTGTGAATACCTACCCAGCGTGACCTGCCCTCTACTGGAGTTCTCTGGTACCTGTCTCCTCTTTCAGTTAGTCTGAAACAGTTTAAAAGAGCGTCCATGTCTCAGTCTTTACTTTGGATTTTGCAGGTTTGGATATAAACAATCTCGCAGGATGGAGGAGAAACAACTTGGGTCTTAAAATCATAAGAGAACCACTTCTGTGCCCAGCGCCATAACTTACTACCCCTTTAAAGGGTCCTGCGGTCCCACTGTAGAACAGAGATAAATGTCTGCCTCTCAGTGTGATCGGACGGTTATATGAGAAGACTCTCAAGAAATCACTTTGTCCATGAAGTTTGTACTTGATACTAAATGTATTAGGTGTTACCATTGGCCAATGGTATTGGTTGAATGAAAGAACAAGAAGTAAAATCAAAGCAAAGCTTTGCTGTTTTATCAAACCTCACATCGATTTCTCCCTTTAACACAATGCAGATGATTCCAAGCTGGAAGAGCCAGATGCTCAGCTCCTAAACGCTATTCGTAAGATGCACAGACTGGATAAGATACTGGCCAAAAGACAAAGCAGAGAGAAGGAAGTTAAAAAGCAAGGTGCAGAAATGAGGATTAAGCTGTGGGAAGAACTCAAGATGAGAACTGTAAGTCAGTTTCCTCGAATAGTAAGAAAAGTGTGGCCTGTGGTGGTGGTGATGTGGTTCTGCCTTATTGATATGTTTCGCAAAAGTGGTCGCAGTGTGAGTGTGTGTGTGTGTGTGTGTGTGTGCGCGCGCGCATGTGTGTGTGTTGGGATGGATATTTTCTGGAGCCAGAGAGGATAATTGAGCTGTGACATTTCAGCCTTCTGACACACTCATTACCTGTGGGCAAGCCCAGCAAACCTCTCTTGCTAGCATCTGAGTAGGAAGGGATGTGATGACGATTTTTATCAAAGATGTATATCTGCTTTTTCTCTTTTGAGTTTATAGTTTGGAGAGAAATAGACAAGCACTCACAAAACATTAAGTCATTATTGGTGTTGTTGATTAAGTCACCCTTTGGGACAAATGAGTCGCAGGGCTCACTACATAACGTGCTGCCCAGACTCTCCTGAGAAGTTACAAATGGCCTCAGCCTGGGTTGGGCTCCATTTGCCTCCCTGTTGCCGCATTTCTGGAGCCTGATTTCAACTTAATGTGGCCTTTGCTGGTCTCTTGTTCTCCATAGCATCAAGAGGTTGCGGATGAACAAATGTTGGCACAGTCTCAGAGCCACTGACTCAGAGGAGAGCAACTGTGAGAAAGGGATTCTGTGTAGCACACGGCCCTTGCTGACAGCCATCCTTGCCACAGGCTAACCTCAGAGGAAGCTCCCTAAGCAGTAAGAGTCAGAATGGAGTGAGCAGGGATACGTTTATGGGCCTCCTGGGAAGACCATCTGGGTGAGCAGAGAAACTGCTGTCAAATTTAAACAAGAGGATGATTTTATATAATTTAGCAGAAAAAGTGAGTCTGTTTTCTGCTGAAACACAAAACAAATTTTAATTTGTATAAAACTAAGAATTACAATTAGAAGCATAATAAAACATGAGGACAATTTTGAAATTTCAGTTTGGTGGGATACCTGTGGATAACTCAATACACACACACACACACACACACACACACACACACACACACGTAACTCAATATATATTTGTATGTATCTATGCATCTCTCTCTCTATATATAGACACACACGTATACACATATATGAAGATACTTTAAACTATAACACTATGTATGTAAGTTCTTTTCTGGAATTTTGGAGAAACAGGAAATTGTAGCAGATTTCCTAGGCAAAGGAATGCAAATGAATGACCCCTCTGTGTATATACCCAATTGAGAACTGGGTTGAAATAAGAACGGACAGGTATTTTTACCTTTCTTTTTCATATTTAAACTTAAACTCTTCTTCCATCAGTCTGCAAAAAGTACTGAAGACTTGGAAAATGTCAAGGAGTTGGAAAACACGAAAAAGTTTTTGTGTTTGACTTCGGAATCTGCAGGAACAGCTGGTAAGCAGAGGGAGACCGCTAAGCCCTCTTATCCCAGGTTGGCGTGTGCTGCCCCTTTTCTCTGTGAGTTGGCGCATTTCAGAGGAAGAGATGATCGCATTAGATAGGACTGGAGGGAAGTGTCTGAGGGTAGGTTTGTTTTAGTGTTTTCAGGGGAGAGAGGGAGAGGGCAGAGGAAACACTGAAGCCAGCCCAGGATGTCTTTGCATTCATTTCCTGTCCTCTTAGATCCTCTAGATGCTACTTCATAACCTCAGTCCTCTCCCTGCTGAGGTCTTGTAAGCAGATGTTTCTTTCCCGCTCACCAGTTCTCAAATAACCAACTCAGAGGTTGAACATGAATTATAAATGCTCAGCCAATAGCTGAGGCTTATTCCTAACTAGCTCTTATTCTTTAAGTTAACCCATATTCTTATTTACACTTTGCCACATGATGGCACCTTTATTAGTATAACACATTCATCTCCTGCTCCCTCTGTGTCTGGCTGGAGAGACTCCTCTGACTCCCATCATTGTTAGTTTGGTCACCCCACCGATACTTCCTGCCTGGCTACTGGCCAATTAGCATTTTATTAAACAAATTTGAGTGGCAAATCTTTTAAGTGTACAGCAAGGTCTCACCAGAGATCTCTCAGTCCTGTGCAACCCCCGTGTAAAAATCTATTGCTGGTTTGCCTATTTCTTGTTATCTCACAGCCCTACCTTTAGAGGCCAGCTAGTTTGCTTCTTTCTTTCTTTGATTTTTTTTGTTTCCCTGTCTCTCCTATCCTTCCTCCTTTTCTCCCTTCTTTTACAGCAGGATTGTTTCAGACTCCCCTTCCACATGTCACATATGTGATACTCCAGTTTTGTGTGGGTAGGGCTGCTCTAAGCAGGGCCTCTGAGTTCTGTGAGAAGGCTGGGTTCCTTTTGTCCTTACAAAGGGAATGTTTAACATTTCAGAACCGAAATGCCTGATTCAGGCTCCTGCAAGAGTTCTGGTGGAGGTGTGGTTTGAGGGAGAAAGTCTCTTCACACTTGCTCCTTTCTGGGTCCAGCACTGAGAGCTCAGAACCTTGAATGATTGTTTTTTTTTTCCAGCCAAGAATTTCTTTTATTGTTGTCAGTGTTTCTGCTAAATATATCTCTCCCAGCATGCATATTGCCTTTTCTGTGATGAAATAGCATTTAAAGATATGGCACTTTAATGTTCCTGCTTAAAGCTTTAGGTATGCTCATTACTATTGTGCACCAGACTTTTCTCCTAAGAGTCTGGGTGCTCCGTCTGCATTGCCCCATCTAGATTGAGGGACTTCTTTGTCAGTGAACTTTTCCAAGTCTCTGCTGGTTTTAATGAAAGTGATAAAACATACGCTGGAAAAAGGACAGCCTGTTAAATGACTAGTCCTGGCAAAACATGATAGCCATCTGCAGAAGAATGAGACTAGACCCATGTCTCTCATCCCACACAAAAATCAATTCAAAGCAGATCCAAGTCCCTAGTTTAAACCCACAGCACTGAAACTGCTAGGGACACTTTAGGATACAGGCATTGAAGGAGTGTTCTGAATGGAACCCAATACCATAGAAAATAGACCCAAGAATTGACAATGGGATTTTGAGAAACTAAAAACACTTGATGGGCCAATGAGATGGCTCCGTGGGTAAAGGCACTTGCATCCAAGCCTGAAGACCTGGGTTCAAGCTCCAGAATCCACTTGGTAGGTGGAGAGAACTGATCCTACAAGTTGTCCTCTGACCTCTCCATACCACACACATGCACATACATGCACATGAGAAATGAACAAATATATATTCAAATAAATTAAAATCTTTGACACAATGAAAGGAACTAACTACAAACTGAACAGAACAGAGAGCCTGCAGACCAGGAGACACTTTTTTTTTTTTTTTTTTTTTTTTGGCCAGGACAGATATTCTCAAAAGGAGAAGTACAAATGACTAGTAAATATTTATTAAAGTGTTCAGCATCCTTAATCACTGCAGAAATATCCATGAAAATGGTGTTCAGCATCCTTAATCACTGCAGAAATATCCATGAAAATGACTTAGGTATTCTGTCTCACACACTCTCAGAGTGACTGTCCTAGAGAAAGCAAATGACAGGTACTGGGGAGGATGTGGGGAAGGAGGAACTCTTCCTCACTGGTCTGGGTATAAACTGGTGAAGCCACTGTGGAATTAGGGTGAAAGAGCCTCAGAAAGTCCAACCAGGACTGCCCTATCGCCCAGCGACACCACTCCTGGGCATCTGCCCCAAAGACTCCTGTTCTTATGTAGAAATACACACATGATTGCGTTTTCTGCGGCTCTATTGACAACATCAAGAAAAGGAATCAGTCTGGCTGTCCATCGAAAGGTGAACATATAATGAGAAGGCAGTTTATGCACACATTGGGTTTTATTGAGCAGTAAAAAAAAAAGTGAAGTTTTCCAGAAAGGAGCTGATTTCCAGGGAGGTCGTCCAGTCTCAGAAAGACAAAGAGTACACTTCCTTGTTCCTATACTGATCCTAGATCCTACTTTTTATATGTGTGTGTTTATGTGGGAGTGAGTGTGTGCAGAGGTCAGGGAACTAGAAAATGGCCCAGGAGAAGGGGAAAGGCAGCACTGAGGGGGGCAGTTGGGCAGTGTAATAGAACTCAGAATGCGAAAGTAGGCTGAGTGACGGAGGCTTCTCAATTAGGATTTCCTTCTTCCTAGCTTGTGTCAAGTGGGCATAAAATTAGCTGGCACACTGATGTCTAACCACAGAGAGTGTCTGTGTCCTTAGGAAAGTAGGGTCTTCCCTTGCTGTGACCACAGGAGTGCCAAATATTTGTACATCAGCCACTGGGTGGCAGCATTTAGTCACAACCCGTTCTTAAAGGCCCAAAGCTCTTAGCAGGGGACCTAGTTTGTCTTGAATTTAAATTATGCACCTACAGTTAGTGCCGCCTGATTCCTAGAGGTCTTCCCTGAGTAACAGCTCCTCAGAGGCGACTCCGTTCTGTCCGGCAGCAGCTCGCTTTTTCTTCTCTTAGGAGTCTAGTCTTCAGCATTTCTCTCCTACACCATTTAGTTTTAGTCTCTCTCTCTCTCTCTCTCTCTCTCTCTCTCTCTTTCTCTCCCTGCTATCCTTATTTCCCTGTGGTATAACTGTATTAGTTTACCTGTTGTGTATAACAAATTAACCTCATAACCTAGTATATTAAAAAACAAGCAAATCTTCTCTTGGAATTTCATCCATTTGGAGAAGTGTGGCTGGGCGGTTCTGACGAGGTTTCCTCTTGCCACAAGCTGATGGCCATCTGAAGGCTCCGAGGAGGAGCCTGAGGCACCTCCTAAAATCACTCACAGCGCTTCCTGGGAGATCTTAGTTCCCTGCTCACCTTTGACAGACTTCTTAGGTTTCTCATGAATTCCACTGTAGAATACATATGTGTCCTTACAACGAGGCAGCTTGTATCCCTTAGTACTGGGAATGAGTACTCAATAGATTGGGTTATAGTTAGCATTTCCGTGATTACTAGACAATAGTAAAAAGAATATGGTGTCTAACATAGGCTCTTTCGTGTACCAGGGAATTGGCAGGTTTCACATATTTATTAGCAGATTTATTGATTTTGTAGAGCTCTTTGCTATTGCTACCTCAACTGGGGACTACTTTGGCATATTTCCCCAAGGTCTAAGTGATATGGAGAAAAGAGTTTTTATAAATTTATGATTAACTATATTGTAATTTTTAATTATACTTGATTGCATAATATTTTATAATTAATTATATGATGCTATTCATTCTGATTATCTTTAGTTGTATGCCTTGGATTTTGTTAATTTTAAACATATCAACCAGAAAAGAATGTTACTTTTTTGTATTGTTCTCATTCTCAACACTAACCATAGGTTTAGTGTTGAAGATTATTCAACCCATTTCAACATCTAATTAAATTATTATGGATTTCTTTCTTGATAAAATTAACATTTTTAAATTAACAGATTTAAACAATGAATCTATCTTTTACTCCTAGGTCAACCCTTCTTGCTTGTGGAAGATTATTATTTTAGTTGGTACCGATTTGAATGATTGAATTTATTCAGATTTATTCAGAAGTTTTGTTTCTATAAAGCAGGATTAGAGGCAGAGAGATGCCTCTGTGGGTTGAGGTACTGGCCGCCAAGCCTGATAAACCGAGTTCCATCTCAGAACCTGCATGGCTGAAGGAGAGAAGGAGCTCCCTTAAGTTGTCCCCTGACCTCCACATGTGCACTGTGACTTGAGCATGCCCAGCATATATACACATCTATGCACATAAATAAACAAATAAGTAAACAAGTAGAAACAAAATGCGGCAGGATTAGGTTGTGTGTGTACATGTGTGAGCATTTGTATGTGCTTGCACAGATGTTGTAGTGTGAGGGTGAGAATTGGAGTAGTGGGTGTTTGTGTGTGTGTACTTGTGTGAGCATTTGTATGTGCTTGCACAGATGTTGTAGTTTGAGGGTGGGAGTGGGAGTAGTGTGTGTGTGTACTTGTGTGAGCATTTGTATGTGCTTGCACAGATGTTGTAGTTTGAGGGTGGGAGTGGGAGTAGTGTGTGTGTGTACTTGTGTGAGCATTTGTATGTGCTTGCACAGATGTTGTAGTTTGAGGGTGGGAGTGGGAGTAGTGTGTGTGTGTACTTGTGTGAGCATTTGTATGTGCTTGCACAGATGTTGTAGTTTGAGGGTGGGAGTGCGAATAGGGGGTGTATGTGCTTTGTTATGTCAGCTTCAGAAAATGAGTGGTCATGGCCACCCATTTATTTCTATGCTTTGAAACAGTTTACATAACATGGGGATTATCTGTTCCCTGAAAGTCTGAACAATTTCACTGGGAAACCCATCTGGCTCAGATCATCTTAGAGGCATTCTCTGACTGTTTCCTTCTCGGCATCTGTCATGTCCTCCGTCCTCTTGTTTGCTGGTTCTCTGACTCTCCCCGGTGTCTCTCATGCCCACCGTCCCATCCCCCTGTTTGCTGGTTCTCTGACTCTTCCTGACACCTCTCATGCCCACTGTCCTCCCATTTGCTGGTTCTTCTGGAGTCAGTTTGGGCAGGACTCCCTCACTCTAGACTTAAAGTCTCCACGTACACAATAAGAAAAGCCCCACTAACGCAGCATCTCAGATCAGTATCTTATTAGTCATTCTCCGTTTTGTGTGTCTTCTCACTATGTCTAATTTTGTTCTTGGTTTTCCCTACTTGAAAAAATAAGAGGGAATTAAGAAAAAAAATAAGCCTTTTAATTTTAGCATAGCTCCAAATTGGCAGAAAAATTACAAGCATGGTACAGAGATTTTTTTTTTCTGTCTACACCACCCCTTCAGGGATACCTTTTGTGAGTGTGGTATGTTTGAAGTGAACCAGGCTTGGTATGATCTTATTAAGAAGAGTCCAACTCTATCCACTTTATTCACATTTCTTTAGTTTTTACCTAATTTTCTTTTCCTGTCCCAGGATTCCACGCGTTACATTAGCCTCCTTCGTCAGCTCCTAGTTGTGACACTTCTCCTGCTTCCTGTTTGAGATGATCTTGGCAGTGCTGAGGCACACTGGTCTGGCATTTTGTAGCTTATCCACCAGTTGGAGTTGAGCTCATGATATTCTCATGATCAGACTGAATTGCACACTCTTGGGAAAAAGATGGCGAGGATGGCAGGGTTAGCGTGCCATTTTCATTACATCACGGTGTTAGCTTGCGTACCGACCGCGCTGTCGATGCTCACATCCCTCCCTGGCTGAGGCAGTGTTGGTCTGAGTTTTCTGTTTTTGTAAAGTCACTCCCTTTCCCTCTGGCCAACTGTTGCTTTTATGAGGAAGAAACTATGCATAGTCTCCATCTGAGGAGTGGGGAGCCTAGCTTTGCCTCACTGCGGGCAGCCCATGGGCCTACATTATTCCGTGTTATTCTGCAGGGGAGATGGATCTGTTTCTCTTTTACTCATGCACATCTGTATCAGCATTAGACTGATAAAAGTGGGTTTTGATTTTATACTTTGAGGTAGATTTCAGTGAACTTTATTGGGTTGGCTCCACTTTCCCATTTTGGCCACGCGATGGTCTCTTAGCTGGTACCTGCCTCCCTTTGCCTCATTTCTGTCACTGTGGGATTTGTTCTGTGTCTCTTGCCAGGCATATCTTCTCGTTTTGATTTCTTCTATATTTCCAACCCAAGCTTCGAATCAGGCTTGTCTCCAAGGAGCCCCGATTCCTGTCACTGAAGAGTGGCATTTAACATCAGCATCTGGATGCCAGGTGCAATTTCCACTAGGAAAAGAAATGTGTGTGTGTGTACTAACCCCTTATGGACATGTCTGTAAGTGTGCCTATATGTAGCCTTCTCTGTATGACCCAAAATTGAGTTTGTACACACTCATGTGTCTGCCTGTACTCCACCACCCCACGTGGACCATGTGGCCTAACCCTCTTGCTTATCTGTCATGTTCTAGCCTTCTCTCACCCTCTGCCATCTCCTTACTTAACTCTTCAGTTGCACAGCACACAGACAGTGTCACTAACCCATAGAAGACACTTTGGTCACCTGCAATGTAGTCCTCATGTTTAGTTCCTGTTGCCTTTGGTCTTTCAGGCCCCATTTTTCAGAGAGAGAGAGTTTGGGCACCTTTTCATCTGATTCTATTTCACAAGCTTGCACTTCGCATTTGCTGTATATCTGGATGGTCTCGCCACATTTCTGCATTTCATATGCAGGATTCCTCAGTCTCTTAGTGAGTTTTTCAAAAGATCTGCGAACGTTGATTTTTGTTCTTTATGTTCTGGTGGTAAATGCTTTTTAAAAAGACACGGTGCCGTGCATTCACAATTACTGAGTGATCTAGAATAGTTTAATTGCCCTAAAAGAACTCATGTGTGAACCCTCATTCAACTCTCCTCTCTTCCCCAACCTTCTGGCTTTATTTAATACACTTTCAAGAATGTCGTAGAATTGGAATTTTCAGTGAAAACCTTTCCTGACTTCATTCTTTCACTCAGAAGTACATACTCATGCCTTTTGCTGTCACGGTAGATAGTCTTTTGTTTGTTGTGAATAATATTTCATTCTATTGATCCATATCTCTTCTAGCTGCATTTTTGTTGCTGTGATAAAATATCCTGACAAAAAGCAATTTAGGGGAGAAAGAATTAGTTCCCAGTTCCCCGCTGCAGTCGTCACCGTGAGAAGTTACAGCAGCAGAACTTTGAGACAGGTGGTCACATCACACCAGTGAAGGGGACAGGTGGTCACATCACACCAGTGAGGGGAGACAGGTGGTCACATCACACCAGTGAGGGGAGACAGGTGGTCACATCACACCAGTGAGGGGAGACAGGTGGTCAAGCAGAACGGGTGCTGGAGCCAGGAACCGATGCAGAAGCCATGGAGGGGTGATGATTACTGCCTTGCTCCTCATGGCTTTCTCAGATGGCTTTCTTATAGAACCAGGACCACATGCAAAGGATGGTACCACCCACAGTGAGTTGGGCCTTCCCATGTACTTGTCTGTAAGCAACCTTAAGGGAGACATTTTCTCAGCTGAGATTCCTTCTTCTCCAATGACTCTCTAGCTTGTGTCAAGTTGATGTAAAACTGGCCAGGACAAAGATACATTATGATCAAATTAGTTAATATGAAAACATAAAAAAAATCACTGCTAGAGAAAAAAATGTTTAACATTGCAGTGTCCTTTCTTCTGCATGGAGCTTAGCTAACATGGAAGTTTCTAACTTCCATGAGTCTCCCAAATATATTCTCTCTTTTAAATTAAAAACTCTCTCTCTCTCTCTCTCTCTCTCTCTCTCTCTCTCTCTCTCTCTCTCTGTGTGTGTGTGTGCAGGTAGGTGGGAGTACCTGCATCGCGCATGTGTGGAGATCAGAGGACTTTGTGGAGTTGGTTCTCTCCCTCCACCTTTACTTGGGATGGAGCTCAGGTCTTAAGGCTCGTGCAAGTGCCTTGGCCCATGGAGCCATCTTGCAGGCTTTGTTTTATGTGGCCCAGACTGGCCTTGGATTTGCTCTGAATTCCTGGACCTCTTGAGTTTTCTCCCTATTGCTGAAATTGCAGGTATTTTTTTTTTGCCATCCTGCCCAGCTCAAAGGCATTCTGCTAATGGCTGACTATAGCTTTAAAACCTTCAACTTGGAGGCCTAAAATAAAGAGGAAAACATAATTCTGTTACCGACTGTGTATATTGCCTGTGTCACAAGCGCGGGGATCTGCCTGGGTCACCAACAGAGAATGGGATGCTCTAGCATGTTCACTTGTGTCTAGGAAGTGCTGTCTGGCTGTCCTTTGCAGTTTGTTTCCAGGGCTCATGTGATGATGACTGCCATGTCAACTTGGGAGCCACACTGACTTTTCCAGAAACAGCTGTGGTATGTGGAGCGGACTGAGGAATAGTAGAGAGGTGTTCAATCCTTTCTCTCGCGTCCACTGTGTAGATTATCTTACTTTGTGGACGTTGAACGTTCTTTTTTTCTCTTTTTGTATCAGTAGAGCCTTCACACTGTGAGTTTGAAGACGACTTTTTCTCAGTGTTTCATACCCAGATTTCTCCAGAAAATTATGAAAATTGCATGCAGAATATGAAGATGGGTATGTTTAATTTGTGTGATTACATAGATTGTCACAAGAGGATGTTGGCTGTATACGGAAATAGGGAACTTGGTACAATTTAGAGTAAATGGATGAAGAAGAAGGAGCTAGAGTTTAGGGTCAGCACAAGGGCTTAGGCTGAGCTCAATGGCAGAGAGCTCACCTAGGACTTGGAAGGTACTGGGCTCAGTCACAGCACTACGAACATATGTGGCAAATAATCCTTTGTGAGTTGATCCATGGTGAAGTCACTGATTGAACTTCATTATTGCATCTGATTACTGGATATTTGAAATTTTGCATGATAGTTTTTAAAAAGTAGGTAGCAGACTACCTGTTGCTCTGGCTCTTACAGCCTTTTTTTTTTTTTTTCACAATTGTGATTACATGATCACTTTTAATTTTTTCAATGCTAGATTTTACCTGTGAGGAGGGAAAGAAATGATGCATTGATCAAAACAGAAAGGAAACCTTTTTCAAACACAGAGAGGATTTCCTCTTCCCTAACGAGCTCCAAGCCTTAGGCGCAGGAGTTGTCTTTAGATGTATCACTGGGGCTGGACACTCCACCGTTGTTTGTTCTCTGCATTTTGATTGGTTGTGAGAAAGGGGGAGATTGTTCTCTGCAGGAAAGAGCCTCCCAATTGGTTATCTAATACCAAGTAGTCAGTCTTCAAATCATATCATACAAGTAACTTTATGCAGACTGAGCAGATTGCATTTAAATGTTTGTGTATCTGTATAATATATATGTCTCAACAATTAAAGGAAAAGAGGCCATGATTTGGGAGATACAGAGAGCAAGTTAGGTACCTGGTAGTGGTGGTGGTAGGGGTTGGAGATAGGAAAGAGAAGGAGGGAAATGATATAATTTTATTTTAATTGCAAAATTATTTTAAAAAGTAGGCTGCCACAGATAGAAATCTGGCTTAAGGAGGATGGGGAGAAAATAAATCTAAAACAAAGAAAAAGTCCATACTCTGTTTCTGGGTCAAGAATTTAAAAATTATTTCTTCTATTTATGTTTTTAAGATATATTTTAACATAAACTTAAATGAATTTTTTGTATGATTCACAATTGTAATTATGAAATCACTTTTAACTCTTCCAATACTAGATTTTACCTGTGATGTGCCATTGATCAAAACAGAAAAGAAACTCTTTCCAAGTACAGAAAAGATTGAGCTTAGGAGTAAACTCAGCCAAGACTTTATTAAGCGAAACATCGAGGTAGGTATCTCATGATTTGAGAGACAATGTGGGAGTAAGCCGGGGCCGAAAGGGTCATGGTGTGTAACTTATTTGTTGTCTCATGTGTGCATACATGGTGCACATGCCCATACAGGCTTTCTAGTCTAATTACATCACGTCTCCCATCTTGCCCTGCTCCCCCTCCCCCCCCCCCCGTCTCCTTCTATCCTATTCTGTCTCTTTCAAAACAGCTAGCTGCAGCTAGGCTTTACTTGATCACTCAGGATAGTCGGAAAAGGGTTTGAACAGTACTTTCCTCCAGATTTTAATTTGTACATCAATAAAGTATGCGTGCCAGTGTAACATGAGGGGGCCTGCTTGATGGGGTTTCTGTCCCGCCTGGTACCCCACAGCTGGCAAACCCCCAAAGAAAATCACACAGAGGTCTCCATAAGTTACAAAATTGATTGGTCCATTAGCTCAGGCTACTTCCTAACTCTTGTAGCTTATATTAACCATTGTTCTTATCTATGGTAGCCACATGGCTCAGTACCTTTCTCAGCCGGGCAGATACATCCTGCTTCTTCTGTGGTCTGGGCAGGACTGTGGAGGGCCTTCCTGCTTCCCAGAATACTCCTGTTCTCCTTGCTCCACCTCTACTTCATGTCTAGTTTTCCTGCCTATACTTCCTGCCTGGCCAATCAGCATTTATTTAAAACATGATTGACAGAATACAGACAAGTCTCCCGCACCACGCCAGTATTTATTTATCAACTCATTCTCCTTATGAGACTTGATATTGTAGCTCCTGCATTTAGAACTTGGAGTGAAAACGTTCCTGGCAGAGCAGCAAGGCTGACTTAGAGAGGCCAGCTGGTAATCTACCCCTCTGGCCCCACCTACTGATCCCCCTTCCTACCCCCTTCAGCACCCCCTCCTATCCTCCCCTGATCCCCCAGCATTTGGTCACTATCCTTGATTCAGGGGTCCATCCTTGGTGCACCACAGTTCAGTTAACCTGATTTGGTTTGTCTTTAAGGTACACACAGATGAGTTAAGGGCACAGGGACTTCTTTATTAGCCCAGAATGCTAATTAATTAATCTACAAGATACGTCTGAGGGGTGTTCGACAGTAACAACTTGGACAGCTAGTCACTGGGAAGCCACATTGCAGCAGAGAGAGAGCTGTTTCCTCAGCTCAGGCCTGAAGTTCTCACAACTGGCATGCCATTCCAGGAAGCTTTGTTCCTGAGTCAGTCTGCCACTGCCAGGCTGGCCTCGGCCTCTCTGCCTTCTGTGCTCCATGCGTGTGTAACGTCAGGGAACCGCCTCCAATTTCCTCTACCCTTGTCTCTGCTGGCCCATTGGATCTTGATGTACTGTTTTGTTTCCAAGAGTAGTGGAGTTTTCCGTTTCTGAGTTCTTGCTGATGCACACAATAGCTTCAATTTAGGTCCTCTTCTCTCCTTTCAACAGCAGCAATGGAATCTTTATTTAAATGCCTTCTATGTTAGTCTAGAAATTAATTTATTTTTGAGATAAGGTCTCATGTAGCTCAGGCTGGCCTCACACTTGGTGGACAGTTGAGGATGACCTTGAACTTCTGATCCCTCTGCTTCAACGTCCCAAGTGCTGAAATTATAAATACGCGCCAGGCTGCCCAGCTTTGTAAGGTGCCAGAGATTGAACCGAGGGCTTCATGCTTGGGAGGCTACTCCTACCAACTGATCTGTATGCCCGGTCCCAACATTCTAAAAATTTAAAAGCACTTTCACTAAGTGGATGTGTGGTACCAGAAAGTATCCAAGAGTCTTTCTTGGTGTTTCGGCAAATGTTTTTCTACTTCTACATCTGTATATCCATATCTTCTTTAGCAATACATCTGTCTGTCTATCATCTGTATCTATATATATGGAGAAGAAATTTAAAACAGTTTACACACACACACACACACACACACACACACATATATATATATATATAAATGATTTTTGGTGGCTGGGCAATGGTGGCATACACCTTTAATCCCAAAACTCTGGAGGCAGAGGCAGAAGGATCTTTGTGAGTTCTAGTCCAGCTTGGTCTACAAGAGCGAGTTCAAGGACAGTCAGGACTACACAGAGAAACCCTGTTTTGTGGTTAATAAGAAGGCCTGCCCGGAACCAATGAGATAACTCAGTGGGTAAATAAAGGGTGCTTGCCTCGAGCCTGAGTTCTCTTCCTGGGCTCACACAATGAGAGAAAGGGCTCTTCAAGTTGTCTTCTGGCCTCCATATATGTGCTATAGCTGACAGATGCACACATGAGTTCCAGAGCTTGTGACACACACACACACACACAGATAAAAGAGGGCTTGCATGTCCTGAAAATACCTGCTTGGAGAATGGTCATCTATAAAAGATTTGTCATAAAATAAAATTACCTAGCAAATCAAAATGCCCAATCTCTCCAGTTTTGAAATTCAGTGTGTCTATTTTGTAGAGTTCTCATTTATCCTTGGACTCCACACTGCACTGTTGCTTACATTTCTTACTAATACATCCTGTAGTTGGCCAAGAGCCCCAGAAGCCCGGTGGTTATGATCGACAGAGAGAAGAAAAGGCTGGACGAGCTCCTCAAAGGCCTAGATGACACAGACTCGGGCCTGTCCAGTTCTGAGGTATGTAAACTCGGATTGTCAATGACTTTACCTTTCTTAATCTTTATTACTTCATCAGCTTTTCAGCCCAAATTGACACTTTTCCCCTTAGAAGATATTCTCTGCATTAAAACCCTAATGTTTTCCAAGTTATTCCCTCAAAGAAACATGCTCTTCGTGCTCCCTGAAACACTTGGCATTCTGGTCTGACTTTTATTTCCTCGGACTGAATAAGGATTTGACAGGACCAGAGCATCTTGGCTCTGCCCGTATCCCCTTGCCGCATCTGTTTGTGTCAGATGGCTTGCAGCCAAGTGGGAGACCAGGGTGTACAGGCACACAGGGCAGCGTTGACTGGCAGTTCTAGAGCAGTCCATATGCAGTGATAGCTGTGGTCACAGGGAGGCTGTGCCAGATAACGCTAGGCCTCAGCTCTGTGACTATCCCCAGCTGCCAGGATCCTGCAAACATTTTGAGAGAAGCTAGAATATCAGACTTTTAAATGGGAAGCATGTGTTTTAAATGTCACCAATTAATTTCTTGGAAAAAATTGTATGTGAACAAACATAATAGCCCTTCTTCCACCCCAAATCCAAAGCAAACATCAGAACCTCACAGATTACAACCTCTGAAGGCCCAGTGGCTGCTGGGTGCAGTAATGGAGGCTGGAGCGCGGGGCAGATGAAGCGCACTGCTAAGCGCCACCGAAATCTGAGGTTACTTCAGTTTTGCTCATTAGGGTAAATATCTTAGTTTACTAACAAAAACTTAGGTAGCAGAATTAGACACCCAGGTTTCATTGTTAGTTATCAACTGTGCAGCTGGGTGAGCCACTTTCTGTGGAGGTGGTCAGTATACGTACCTCTCTCTTTAACTGTTCTTGCATTGCTTTGACAATTGCTTTTGTGATTAATATTGTTTGGCTTATTGGCTTAGTTAGTATTTATGTTTTATCCCTCACATATTTTAAACACATAATATCAATTTAAGCAGTATTTTTATTATTTTTAGGTATCTTTTGTTGTTATTTGGAATGACCACTGAGAATATTTGGAACATTTCCTGACTTTAAATTATGGATTTTAGCCTGGTGGTGGTGGCGCACGCCTTTAATCCCAGCACTCCGGAGGCAGAGGCAGGTGGATCTCTGGGAGTTTGAGGCCAGCCTGGTCTACAAGAGCTAGTTCCGGGAAGGGGACCAAAGCTACAGAGAAACCCTGTCTCAAAAAACCAAAAAAAAATTATGGATTTTAATAATCATATTTGATCTTTTTATTCACTAACTCTTTTTCCCACACATTATTTGGGAATCCAGTCCTATTTCTGACCTGGTATTGTTATATCTATCAACTTCAGAAGTAGTTCCTTGTCCTGGTTGGGTTTGTGTGTCAACTTAACACAAGCTAGCGTCATCATAGAGGAAGGAGCCTCAGTTGATGAGAGAGGCCTCCATGAGATTCAGTTATAAGGGTTTTTTCTCAATTAGTGATCAATGGGGGAGGGCCCAGCCCGTGGGTGGTGCCACCTCTGTGCTGGTGGTCCTGGATTCTATAGGAAAGCAGGCTGAGCAAGCCAAGAGAAGCAAGTCAGTAAGCAGCACTCTCCATGGCCTCTGTATCAGCTCCTGCCTCCAGGATCCCGCCCTGTTTGAGTTCCTGTCCTGACTTCCTTCGGCGATGAACAGCAATGTTTGGAAGTGTAAGCCGAAAAAACCCTTTCCATCAGAACTTGGTTTTTGGTCATGTTGTTTCGTCACGACAACTAAGAAATTCCTAAAATTTTACATCTTGACCGGCCTAGGCTTGTGGGAGGGTTGGTTTTCTCTTCCCCCACTCCTTTCTGGAAATAACATGACATAGTCAGAGCCCTTAGGTCATTTTCTGGGTGCAGAAACCACAGTTGAATACCACTCTTCACACTTTGTTCCACCTTTGCAGCCCTGAGTCTGACAAGTCCCGGATGCAGCTCTTTGTGCCCATTCAGATGGGCTCACCTGTGCCCGATACACAATCATGCCCTATAAACATTCAGTGTGGCAATTTTGAATGGATCCTATAATTGAATCTTAATTTTTAAAGTTTCGTCTTTATTTATGAGCATGCATGCATGCTGTTCACGTGTATGTGCCCACAGAGGCCAAAGCGGGGCATCAGATCTGGAGGTGGAGTTATGGGCAGTTGTGAGCTACCTGATGTGGGTGCTAGGACCAGCGCTTGGTTCTTTTGCAGAAGCAGGGCCAACTCTTAACCACTGAGCCATCTCAGCAACTGCCGTGATTGGCTGAGACTCAGTTACTTGGCTACAATAGCATACTGTTAGGTTATAACTGGTTTATATCTTAAGCTAGCTATAGTCCACTATACACAAAGATTTTAGGCTAAACTTATTTGGGCATGGAGACTAGCTAAGGTCAAATTATTTTGCTTCACTGGGATAAAGTTTAAAAATATTGTATTTATTATCAGTTAAAGCTGATTTCTTCCCATCATGTCATAGTTTTATTTTTTTGTGTGTTTGTAATTTTTAAGTAGAATAGTGATTATATGAACAAGAATCATATGAGGCTGAGGGAGCCCAAAGAGGCCCTCAGAAGACACTTCACACAGACTGAGAAGAGAACGCAATCATAGCTTTCCTACCTTTTACTACCCAGGGTTGGTGGTGTGCTTATAAGCCTGGGCTCTGATGGAGAGCTCTGAGAAGTATGTTTTGAAGCAAATGTCGCATGGGAATGACCTGGTCACATTGGTTTCCTTTTAGGGTGACCAGTGTGGTTGGCTGGTCCCGGGAGAAGGCTACACCCTTGCAGCCACGGAGTCTCAGAAACTTGCTCAGATTGACACGAAACTTCAGGAATTCTCTGTGCTCCCACCAACGGTCTTCAGTCTTTCTCCAAGACTCGAGAGTCAGAGCAATAAGGTATGTTATTTATTTTTGTTTGTTTATTTGAGGAGAGAGGGGGAGTTGAGACAGGGTCTCTTTCTATAGTAGTCCTGGCTGTCCTGGAACTCGCTCTGCAGAACAGGCTGGCCTCAAACTTACAGAGATCTTCCTGTTTCTGCCTCCCAAGTGCTGGGACTAAAGGCCTGCAGCTCCATGCCTGGCTGAACGATAAGCTGTGTTTAACCCAGGTTAATGCCTGCAAACATTACCACACATGCTTTCTGATCTCAGCTGGAGAGGTTTGTCCCAGCTGCTCTTCTGTGAGTACAACTGAAGATTTTCAGTTTTTCCAGCAGTGTGTATTTTCTTTCGGTTATGTCTACTTTTTTTGTTTTGTTTTGTTTGTTTTTTTCAAGACAGGGTTTCTCTGTAGCTTTGGAGCCTGTCCTGGAACTAGCTCTTGTAGCCCAGGCTAGCCTCGAACTCACAGAGATCCACCTGCTTCTGCCTCCTGAGTACTAGGATTAAAGGTGTGCGCCACCACTGCCTGGCTGGTTATGTCTACTTTCTACCCATTTAACTTTCAGTTTGAAATTTTCTAAATTGAGAAATGGGGCAGTTGAGAAGCGACTTATTTTAATAATATCATTTCATTGTGATGTAAGGTAACTTGCAGTCATGATTAGGAAGAAGGAAGAAAAGTTAATAGTATTCATCAGTCCTTCCAGCCTTTCATCTTTTGGGCCTAGATGTGAACAGAGCCGGTCATGTGCCTCTTACCTGTCACGTTCTTCGAGGTCCTTTAATAGCAAGAACGAAGCTTTCCTGTGATAATCTCTGTCCTCTGACAGCTCTGAAATAAGTGTGGATGGCTCGCTCCAAACTTCTGTGAAGTGCAGAGAGTGTAGTGGACAGAGAAGAGCAGGGCTCGACACAGCGAACTTCCTTCCTGCTCCTCTGCATTCCAGTTCCAAAGGGCTGGTTTGGGCTTGGGTGGTGGTATGGAGAGAAAGTGGTATGTGTGTGCGCGTGTGCGTGTGTGCGCTTGTGCGTGCATGTGTGTGTGTTGAGGGGTGATTTTGCCATCTCTCTTTCAGCTTTGTAAAAGTCTAAGCAAATCATTTTTCACACAGTTCTATGGTTGTGGGGTTTTCTTTTGTCTTTCAAAAAATTTAAGTATCAGTAATTTATCAGTAAGTCCTTTCTAGAAGATACTATTGCTAACTGAAGTTACCTTAGCTAAAGAAACTCTGTTAAGATGTCCTGAAGAAACAGTTTAATAACTGGTGGCACCTTGGGAGCTATCTCAGCTTCCCTAGGTTAAGTTTCTAAGAGTGGGGAGGGAGCTATGCCTGACCCCTTGAGGCAGAAGCTAGATTTTTGCTAGATTTTGTTTTCATCATCTAAGTCACATTTTTCTTCCAGAGCCCACATTATGGTTCAGGTAAAGTCATCTCTGAGCCATAATGAAATGGAGAAACCAGTGTACACCTGTGCCGGTGCGGGCTGAGATGGTGCAGTTTTATGGGAAACAAAGAAAAGAGAAAACTGCTCTTGGGCTTCCCACTGAATGCAGGAACAGACCAGGAGCGTCATGGTTGCTGAAAAGAAGTAACTGATGCTTCTTCCACACAAAACAGCAGATCTTCTCAACATGTGTTCAGTTTCCTCTTGGAGCTTCTCGCCCAAACCAGCACTGCACATTGAACTTTCAAGCAGAAATGCAAACCTAGCGAATTCATTCATGGTGATTATCTTTGAATTGTGAGGTCTTCTGAATAAGTTCACTGAAAAGAATGCGTAAGCTTTTTTTATCTCTGTGTTGCTGGTGAATGGGCTCCAATCTGTTGTTGAGCACAAACACTTAGCATTTGAATTCGTCTTCGTTTCATTCTTCTGCAGACCATTAGGCTCATCAGTGGTGTTTCTTCACGAGCCTTTAGGAGAATGCCTTTTAAGTGGATTACACATTCCTACTTAAAGACTTATTCTTATTTCTGTGTGCGCACGTGTGCGAGTGTGCCTGCTGGCCTGTGTGTGTCTACGTGCATGTTCACGTGGGTGCTAGCAGAGACTGGAAGAGGGTGCCGAGCCTTGAAGCTGGAGTTGCAGGCGGTTGTGAGCCACTCTGAGTGCTTCACAGAGCCGTCAACACTTGTAACTGCAGAACCATCTCTCCTGTTTCTAGATTTCTGCTTTCAAACCAATCCAACAAACATTTAACCTAGGGCTTACTGTTTATTAGAAATTACAGGGACTTAAAGATAAGTCAGGCACATAGTTTACCTTAGAGTACAAAAGCCTTGCTTTGAGTAACATTTTTCAGATCGAGCAGGTTCTGTTTAAGATTATATATGTGTGTTCATATATACATTTAACAACAATAAAAAAAAAATAAGAGGTCACTGAAGTTTCTGCTTCCAAAGCATGAGGACCCGAGTTTGATTCCCAGAACTCACCTCAAAAAAGCCACAGAAGACTGACTGCCCACCACATAGCTGAAGGCTGGAGCTGGTGGCTTTGGTGCCAGATAAATTCACAGATGGGTTTCCTTAGGCTCACAAAGTGTTTACAAATGTTCATAGTCAATATTTAAAAGTTAGGTGAATTCAAATGAAAATGCTAGTTTCTAGTTTTTCTTTGAGAAATTAGAGAATATGCCAGCCCTTCGCCTGATCCTTGGTGTGGGCTAGTGAACTAGCCTGAGCTGGGTGGCAGCTAGTGTCTCTTCTGGTTCTCCACTTTCCTGTCCACTCGCCGTTCTGTATCATGTTGTCAAGAAAATGGTTTTCTGCACAAGTTGAACACACACAGGCTCCCTGGCATAGCTGCTTGTGGTTACAGTGTGATGTTAAGTTGGTAGGCATGGAAACCTATGACGCACACTTTGAAGGTCTCTAGAAATGATCACAGAGGGTACAACCAAAGCTCTGGTCTTTGCGAGAGGGAAGGGGAACATCACCTTTCCTTGCCCTTAGAAGTTTGCCTGTTGTGACGTCCTTATATTAATCACATGCCTGGTGCTCTTAACTATGGAAAAATGTTCTTTAAAGATTTATTTATTTTATGTATGTGAGTGCTCTATCTGCATGTATGCCTTTGTGTCAGAAGAGGGCATCAGATCCCACTATCGATGGTTGTGAGCCACTATGTGGTTGGTGGGAATTGAACTCAGGACCTCTGGAAGAGAAAGCAGTGCTCTTAACCACTGAGCCATCTCTCCAGCCCCAACTATGGAAAAAAGTTTTTAAAGCAACATTTGCCTTTTCTTCTGTGAAAACAAAACCTGTTCTCTCGCTGCTGCTGTAATATTAACAATGTTGTGGCTGCGGTTTCCTTATGTGCTTTTAATCCTCATCTTTGGGAGCCAAAGAGAGCCAATCTCAGCTGTGTTTATTCCTAGGATCTGTGGATTAACCGTGCATACCTGTGCTTACCAATCTCTTGAGTTGCCAACAAGACAGTCAGTTCTTTCTCTGTATTGGAAAGCGCCCTGTAAAGTTGAGTGATGGCATATAATTTTGTTTTTCTCATTTGTTGCGTAGACTAGATTCCAGCTTTCTCCAGAAATATCTATGATATGGGAGAGTAGTGTAACATTCAGTTCCTTAAATCCTCAGCAACTGGATTCAATAGTCAGTGCTATTCTTCTTGGCTCTTGTAAAGACACAGACTTTCTTCATCTCTCATGCGATCAGTCTTACTAAATCTAGGATTCCACTTCATGGTTAGAGGGTTCTCCCCCTGCCCCCCATCAAAGGCGAGTTTTCAGAAATGTCTCTTACTGACAAGAGGTAGTTCTTTGTTCTCAAACCACCTAACTTAATTGAATATAATGACTCTCCTTAACTTGATTTTTGTCCTGTGCTTAGAACATTAATTCCATCACTCACAGTTTGGTAATGCAAAAACAAACAAACAAACAACCCCCCCCCCCCCGAACCCTGCAACTATTTGAGTGAAGACATAGTATTTATATTCATCTCTTTTCTTGCCAAAAATCACACAACTGCTGACAGCAAAAAAATGAGTTTGGTTTGTTTGTTTCTTTCTCAACACTAGCTAACTTAGGAGCAATTTGACATGTAATCCTGAAAAACTATATATTGCCAAGTCCATTCCCCCCAGATTTAAAGCATGGGTTCAGAGCAGGAATCCAGTTACCACTTGGTTTATGCCAGTTACAAGCCCTGAGTTTACCTCCCTGCAGAAACCACGGCAGCGTGTCTCAGGGGCATCTGCGTTTGCACTGAAGAATAAACCAGAACTTACTTTAGCATTCCTGGCCTCTAGAGCCAGGCTATTGGAATTCTCGTTTAGATCTGGGAAATTGCCCTCGTCTCCCAGCCCTCATTTTTACAGATTATTTTGAATTTTATACTTTTTTTTTCTCGTGATGTCTCCAATGCTGGCAAGGTTTCTTTCGTTTCATGGCAACATTCCAAGATGATAAAAATAGTCTGTTTGAAAGATTTTCCCCACTACATTTGGGCAATTGACCCATGTGAGACAAGAAATAGGAGTGACTCGTAGACACGCAGAAAGTGAGCCTGGACGTGCAGGGCAGGCTGGCTTCTCCCACGCAGGTCTGTGCTCTTACCGCATGGCTTCTCTGAATATCAAATAACTCAGTGAGCTCTGAGTAATTTCCTTTGAATTTGACTTATGAAAAATGAGTTTATTTAGCTTCAAAGGCCTCTGTGGGCCCAGCCAACATCACAGATATTTTTTAAAGGGTAAACTCAGAATCTCTTGGCAATCACTTAGTCAGAATAACAAATATCAATTTACCTCAGGGTTAATTTTCTCCTTCTGATGCCATCAGGCACTCTGAGTACATCACGGAGAGCTTTGCTGAGTTCTCTGCGAAATCCTTGCTGTCTGACTCAGAGTTACAGGAGCAATCTGTTGCTCAGAGACTCCACTGAATTAAATCTCAAAGATGGTGAAGATGGCACCAGTCTGCAGTGGATCACTGGAGAGCACCAGTGATGTTCACTGTTCTCTCCTGGCTTGCCTTCATTACATGATATTGCTCAGATCCTTGAACTAGACAGTTATGCTGTCAGAGAAAACGACCAAGGGACCAAGAAAAGATCTCACACACCCTCCCTCCCAGTGCAGAGAACTGCAGATGAGGCAGCAGAAGTTGAGACTTGGGAAGAGGGGATGGCATCTTAGTTGCATACCTGATGGTCCTAGCGGAGTCTGACTGAGCTCTGACCGCCAGGCCTGCACTGTTGAAAATGCAGAACACAATCTCTGTCAGAGCAGAACGGAAAGAGGGTTGGTGGAATGCCATGCTTGCTTAAAAATTTTAAAATAAATGACCTTTCTACTTATGAAATTAGTACATTTACTGTAGAAAATTCAAGAACCACAAAGACTAAGAACATTGGAACACACACACATACACTGAATGCAGGGCTTCATGCATGCCAGTCAAGTATTCTATTACTGAAATAGATTCCCATTATTAAATCAAGTTTTATTTTTTTCAAATCATCAAGTTAATTACTGTTAAACTTTCTTCCAGTTTATTCCTGTGCAAAGACAGCTACTGACCCCTTCCCAGGCAATATATCAGTTGGGACAAGAAACAGAAAGCACAGCCAGCTTGGATTTCAGATGCTTGTGCCACTGTGTGCAGCTTTTTAGTGGGTTCTGGGAACTCAAACTCAGGTCCTTGGGCTTGTGACAAGCGTTTCACACACTGAGCCCGTGAGTGAATTATCTCACTTTTAAATTAGGAACCTGACCTGGATGAAGAAGGAAATATGGAGCCAGCTCCAGGAGAAAAGATACTCCGGGACAACAAAGAGCAAAGGGACCAGCGGTCTCGACTGAGAGCCATTGATGGGAAGCTGAGAGAGATCAATGAACAGGTGTGCACTTTCTCACTTGGCCTGATCGTAGTCCTTCATTGACCTGAGAAGCTGCTCAGTTAGGGTCTCACTTAGCCTGATCGTAGTCCTTCATTGTACCGAGAAGCTGCTCAGTTAGAGTGTTTTTATCTGTTGAATTGGGCATGAGACCTTGCCAGTCTAAATCAAAGCAAAAAATATGATTCATAGGATTTAAGATGATAATATTATTTAGTAATTTACACATGTATTACCTGTAAAGTACTATCTGAACTCAGAATCATAGTGCACAATGATCTGTCTGATAGGAACACACATGTGGAAAATATTCTTATGTATTAGCCTTAATGCTTAAATATTCCCACCTTTGGTTTACAATTAATACAGTTTTAGTTTTAATACAGGGTTAGTAATTTTAAGCCTACTACATATTTTCTTGCTTTTAATTTAAAGCTATATTATTACTGATGACAGATTATATATATATTTTATCTAGAGTCTCACTATGTAGCCCAGGCTGGGCTTGGACTTGGTTTTAAGGTGGGAAGGAGTCTTTTGGTTAACAAAAGTTTTTGCGGTACAGTACATCACGCCAGGGAAAGTGTGGTGGAGAGTGTGACTTTAGCCACTGACTGTGGCAGCAGGAGCCTGAGGCAGTTGGTCACAATGTGTCTGAAGTCAGGAAGCAGAGAGAACAGAGGAACAGTCTCTGATGGATGCTTCTGGGAACTGCTTATTCTGCCTTATTTTCTTATTCTTGACCCCATGATGGAGGATCCTTTCCAGATACTGCTGTCTAAGCTCAGGATCCGAGTTTGAATCCTGAAAGTTATGGTGGAAGAAAGAACCAACTCTTGAAAGTTTTCTTCTGACCTCCATACATGTGCTGTGGCACCCACCTGCCCTCACACACATACACACATACCCATAAACATACAACATGCACGCACACACACATACCTCACATTGCATGCACACGCACATACATCACCTGCACACATTATTATAATACAATAATTTAAAAATCCCTGATTTGGTGAAAGGTATCATATATGGCTACAGGATTGGTGAGTTGAAGATCAAACCCACAGCCAGTCTTAGGGAAGGAAAAGGAAGAGCTAAACACGTTACAGGAGTCCTGATACCCAGTCCCGGAGACACCTGGCTCCCGGGACTGGCTCATGAGAAAAGGCAGGAAAAGCTGCCTCATTCTGTGCTCCTATGGTTGCCGATAGCTGTCGTGGTCAAGGTTAGCAGAGAGAGCGGGAGTCAATCATTCTGTAGATGGCCGCGGGCCTGTCGTTGCCAGTGAACTTAGCTGTTAGGAGTTATGGGAAGAAGACACAGCACAGGGAGGTTGAACCCCATACATTTGTATTGAACTGAATATTCACACAGGACCCCAAGAAACAGCTACATAAAACGGCCTCCCTGGGCAAGCTCTCTATTACTTGCCATACAAATGACAGACAGTCTTTGGGGCGGGCACTCTTGTGGTTTCCTCCCTCAGAAGTGGATTTCTGTTGTTTTGGGCATTCTTGTTCCATCCAGCCTTTTACCCCCCCCCCCCCCCACACACACACTTTATAACTTCCCAGACTTATAGTCCTGTTTTGCATGCGTCAGTTGTGGACACCATAGTTATGATCCAAATTGCTCAACTTTGTGATGTTAGTATGTTTTGAGAATTTTTTCAGGAGGAGATGTGAGCAATCCCCTCCCCCCAATTCCTTAAGTCCTAAAGCTCAACTCCACCAAAGTTCACCGTGGGGACCAATGAGTTCACTAGGCTTACTTCCAGATCCTGAGTGGAGGGTTATGGGCAGGAGTATGGGTGAGCTTAAAGCATTTCCAGTAGAAGAGCTATGCTCACATGGACGGAGGCTTCCCATGCTGCATGGATGGAGTCCTTCCCCAGCCTTCCTCAGCCTAGATATGTTAGCTCATTCCCAGGCCCCAAGGTTACATGAGATTAGGGCAGAATCTGACCGGGAAGAGTGGATCCTCCCGCGAGGGTCCAGTGACCCGCTTCATCCCCTCCTCCTTTGAGGGAATGCCTAGTTGGCAAGCTCAGCTGTGATCTTCACATCAGTCTCAGGAAGACGGCAGTTATTCTGCTCTGATGATAGGACTGTGTATTTGGGTGAGCTTGTTTCTAGACTGAGGATGGGAGCACAGACAGTGAAATGGAAGCTGGAGGGGGGTAATCATGCAGAGGACCCGTGATATCATCATCCTGGCCAAGGACAGATGAAAGGTGGAAATGCTGAGAGCGAGGGGAGGAGAAAGGACAGGATTGGGTCTCTGAGGGCCAGAAGAGTGCGCTGGTGAGCAGCAGCCCACGGGAAGCCCATCAGCAGGGATTGGCGGTCTCTCTGACAACCTTCCAAAAAATAGAGGCAGTAGGCATTGAGTGGAAACAGGGTGAGGAGAGCTTGGATAATTGCAATGGAGGGTCAGAGGGGCGAGGGAGTTGATGGTACTTCAGATTTCATAACCAGAGGAAAAATGAATGCAGTATTGTGTCCCAGATATCAGCTTGGGATCCCGTTGCCCTTCTTTGTTCCAGCTTCAGAATGTATTCCGTGTAACCCACACAGTGCCATGCAACTGCCAGATGTGCGAGGTAGATCTCTACATCTTGAAGAGAAGATGTCTAGATTCACAAGGAGGAAGATGTCACCGCATGAATCAATGATTGCTGTGATTCCATTTGTGTTGAGAATTCATGTGGAAATCCTGGACCCATTTAGTGTCACATGCTAGCCGCGATGGCTTTAGTAAGGATAGGGATGATGGAAAGGTGAAGAAAGGAAATACACGTTTTCTGGCATGCTAAAGGGAAGAGCATATTGGGACGAAGGTGAATTTTATATTATGTTTTGCATTTTTCTCTATCTTCCCAACTTTAAAAGATGCACAGGTGTTATGTTTGTAAGAAGCATTAATGTTTATGAATGCGAGAATTTATTGCTGTTTGTTGTCTCTTGCCTGATCTTTAAGCATTTGGAGACAGAGTCACTGCAACAAATGGGACTTAGTCTTACTGGTGACTCAGATTCGCATCCACACACCTGTTAGGCCAGCGGAAATATCAGCGATGTGGCATGATTGTGTGTGAGTGGGGTGAGTTGGGACACAGTCATACTTGAACATACTGCTAGCTTTCCAAATTGTTTTTTCCTCAGGAGACAATTGACTAATAAATATAACAGTGACTATAACATTATTTATATTTGTCCATGTAATCTTACTTTTATAAATATTTCCAAAGAAATAATATCCTAGGAAAACCAAGCCAAGTAGAACAGGAGGCACCGTAAATGGTCTCATATTAATCAATGCTCACACAATTTACACCCAGTGAGCCCAGCTGAGGCTATGGCAGGACAAAGATAATGAATACCTGGACCTCAGGAATATGGGACCTTTACGTGGAAATGTCTGGTAGAAAACATAAAAGTCAAAGTTGAAGGTAGATCTCACCAACTGTATGTAATGTATGTTATGCACATTAGTGTGTAATCATATCACATATGCAATGTGAATATGTAATATGTGACTAGGAGTAGCTTTCCTGCTTCCCACTGACTCCCCTTTTCTTCTAAAGGAAGAGGAGTCATAACTGAGGACATCCTAGAAGTTCAGTGTCTCATTTAGAGATATTTTAATTCATTGATGTAATGATGGACTTCTTGATAATTTAAGAAGTAGCAATTTTTGTTTTATCTAATTATTTGAAACACTGAGTGTTCCATTCTGATATTAAGATTTTTTTTTAAGACAAGAAGATCTTTACGTTCTAGACTGAGGTAAAAATGTCTTTCAGGAAGCAGCGTGGTAATTCCACAGTTCAATTATGAGATTTGGGATTTTCAAAAGAATCACCTGTCTGCCTTTACCTCGGCGAGCCCATGAATGATAAAATGGACAGCGGTTTGTCATCATTGGGAAACTCTTCACGGTTCTAATTGTTCTAAAGTATCCACCACACTTTTCAGGTCTTTATTGTGTCTCCTTTGGGCTCTTTCAGTATTTTCATCTTTTGACATTGCTACTATATCTTTGCACATTCCTTCCTGTTTCTGTTTCCTGGAAACCACAGGTTGGCCTTGTTTGGTGAATGGAGTTATAATTGCATCAGGGTGCTTAGCTCTCTAAGCCCTGTTGCTAAGCATCGGCCATAAGAATGTGGTTCGCAAAGGGCTATTAGTCCTTGTGTTCTTATGCTTGTTTTGGCTCGTGCTTATCATTTAGCCTCCTATAAGAATATACGGAGCCTGGCCCACAGACCAGGGGCTTTGTTTGCTCAGAGCATGGCTTGGAGGGCTTCCCTCCAGTTGCTGAGCACTGGAAATCAGCTGTAGAGTGTGGAAGCCTGACTATCACACAGGCAGTTCTGTAAGCTGGAAACCAAAGCACTGAACAGGTAAATGAGATTTCAAAAACTCACAATTAGTTAGCAGTAGACTTAGGCCAACCCTCAGTTTTTCTGGTACCTGAGTCTGTGAACTTCTCAATATATATAACTATTAATTACTTCCATGTGGGTCAGCCATTCTGTGTGTGGAATTTGTGACAGCTTCATATAGACTGAACCAGTGTGTCTGGCTTTTTTATATTGTTCTGGGAATTCAGCTTAGGTCCTCATGCTTGCTCAGCAAATGCTTCACCGACTGAGCTCTCTCCTTGGTCCACATGCATGTAACTTTTATTAGAGTACTTCTGGCTGGTACCAGTCTCTTGGCATGCCCAATTTATGGATTAAATGTATACATGTGTGTATAGGAGAGATGGGGCTTGGTGCTAACTGGGGTTTTAGGCATCCAGTGGAGTTCTTGGAACATGTCTTCTGGGGGAATGGATACTGCTTTTCTTCCCCTTTTCCTCTTCCCCTCCCTCCCTCCCTTCCTCCCTCCTTCCTTCCTTCTTTCCTTCCTTCCATTCTTGAGACAGGGTTTCTCTGTGGAATAGCCCTATCTGTCCTGAAACTCACTTTGCAGCCCAGGCTGGCCTTGAAC